ACCACTAAAAATTTTGCTTATACGTAGCTAATATAATTATATTAAAATATTATTATATTATTATAACGTTAAAAATATCATTCTTATATTACTAATTTATATGATTTTTTTTATATTTTCTTATAAATATATACATATATATAGACGTAAGTTATATTCTATTGTACGTTTTTTATATTTCTTTTATGTACATAAAATATATACAATAATAATATATATGTATTTAAAAATAAAAATAAAATAAACATTGGCTTATCAGCATATGATAGTAGTAAGCTATAGTAAAAATATTTTCACATATTATTATGTTCGGAAAATAAGTTTAAAAACGGTTTTTTTTCTTGATAAAATATAAAATTATTTATACTATAATAGGTAATTATAAATGGTTACTATTACGCAGCTTCTATTATTAATAAAAAATCGTACTACACATTTTATAATTTACTATGATATGATACAGAGTCCCCTCTATCCCACTTTTATATGATTATAATTTTTAATACAATGTTGGTAATATTTTTAATTAATAGTTTTTTTTATTTATAAAATTGCTCATTATAATTCAGTAACTATCAATCTGATATTTTTTAAACTGAAAATATACTTATGTTTGGTATACATCTGAAAACTATAAAAAAATATCTATTTTAATGTGGGATTTAAAATGTAATAGATATATTTTAGTCCTCATCAGCTATCTTGCCTAAACTGACTTCTTGAAGAACACCTTCATAGTAGTTATATTTAATAGTATTTAGTAGGAACACACTTCTCAAATTCGTAATGCACACTTCCAATTTCGGATTACACACTTTTTGTTGGGGTTCACTAAATAATAGCGGCTACTATTACATTACAAAATTTTAAACCATTATTAAACATTATTACAGTTGTTATTTGTTAGTATACCTCATTTGACTATATTTAAATATATATATATATATATATATATATATATATATGATTATATTTGTACTCCCTACTTAGAATAACTTATACAAGGTATATTCCCTAGGAAAACAAGAAACAAGTTTATTTGTTACGTGTATATTCATTTACAGACAAACTTGTTTTCAACTATATATTATAATACAATGCTGGTACTTCTTCAGATGTTTTGTTTGGAACTTGAAATCTCAAATTATAATTTTAATTTTTACATTATGAGTATTAAGATTATTCATATTATGCTACTGTTTTATTATAATAGTACAGTAGTAGTTAAAATTTTTTTTTGTTTTTTAATTATTAAATTAAGGTTAAATAATGTAAACAATTTGATAAATACAGAATTAAAAAAAACTTGATCTTGCATTTAACAGCAATTTTTTGAGACGATTAATAATATTAAGCTTATAATATAACTCATGAAAAGGCATATTTTTATAAACTGAGTAAGAAATGATAGTTATAATAAAATTAATATTTACTTTTTCGGTCCCTTTTTTTGTAGTATCAAAGGAAAAAATAAATTACACAAATGTTTATGATTTATATACCATATGATATGTGTATTTTCTTTTCTTTCATATTAATATCAAAAATGAGTATAAAACAGAAGAAATTCAATCTATATGATTTGTACAAATAAATAGTATAAGTACCAGTGATGGGAATTATTCGAGTATTCGAATATTCGATCATTCGAATATCAGTATTCGATGCTACAATACAATACGTAACAAAAATTATTCGTTTAAGTTTTCGCGCAACACAAAACGTTTATTAATAATATTATATGGCTTATGGTGCATAAAGGCATACAAGAAGTGGATTTGAAGCCAGTGATATTTACTATTTGACATGGCAATTAAAATACAAAAATAAAAATTGTGCAAAATACTCCAATATCATAATTAAATTATTATTAATACAGTATAAACTATAAATCACTATAGCGAGCATCGCTTAGAACGAGATACTGCTTACAACAAGCAAAACGTTAGGTCCCTGCATGGCACATATGACAGGCGCAGGTCTAGAACTCAAATTGGAGGGGGTCATTATTTCGAAAATACAAAAAGATAATACACAATTATAAAATAATAAAAGTAAATTATTAATTCAAATTAGAAGTTATAAATATATGAAATTGTTAATTTTTAAAATTAAATAACAAAGTTTAATCCCCTTTGTTTTTATTTTTCCAAATTTAGAAATAATATTATCAATTTATGTGTATATTCTTGTGAATATTGAACAAAGCGTTCCTTTTCCATGTTTAAACGAAGCCATAAAACCTTAAGCTTTAAAACGCCTGAGAGTAGAGAATGATCGGATGTATTTTTTAACAAGTTATTAGTACCTAAATTATCGATTAGTTGTGCCATAGCAAGTATATGGTATAATATTATATAAACATACTGGTAACGGATTGGGAGTAACCGAATTGGTTCCTGTTTGAAAAAGGTATTTTATTAGGTATAGCCGAATTGGTTCCCGTTTGTGTACAGATTAGGCGAGCCAGTGCATTGAGAGCAAAAAACAAAATTTTAAAAGCTATATGTATGACATATAGACACAATTATAATATCGATAAGATAGAGTATAGAAATATAATAGATATAATATAGATTACTAGATACTAGCAAATTACTAGCAAACAGGAAAGAAATAACAAATACTTGGACAGTTATATGTATGACTGAGAAGTTTACGAGAATTGAATATTTAAAGAAAGTTAGCTTCAAATTTGCAAATCAGTGGTTTTAAAATGTATTTATTATATTTTATTATTTGTATTTCGTACACTTAAGTGATGACTAGTTGACTTCCGAATCAACGATTTAAAATTGTATATATTTTATCATTTTTTTTTAACACACATTAACGCACATTGTTAACCAAGCCTACTTTAAAGTTGACTGTCAAAAAACTGTAAAATTGAGATGGAAAATTTGCGGCGTAATTAAATGGGAACCAATTCGACTATACCTAATAAAATACCTTTTTTAAACGGGAACCAATTCGGCACGTGGGGACGAAGCTTGGGAACCAATTCGGTAAAAGCCCTTCTGGTTATTTTCATGTCTATATTTAAGATTTCGATTAGAAGTTTACTCCAATCGTAACAGTCATAAAAGACATACGAAAACTGGTACCTAGCCAATATATTTAGAGGAAGCTAGATATTTTATTAATTTTTGACCATTTCCCGAGTAATTGAAAAAACTGAAAAGTAATTATGAAAACATTTAACTGAGTTCGTGTTACGAACTTGCTAACACCAATTATCTTTTCAGGAATTAGTCGATTAGATTAAAGAAATTACATTTATAAATATTTCATAATTTTCAAAAAAATATGCTAATTGCAAAGACATACGATACAATTTTCGATTAAAAATTAAATATAATGAATAGTTACGATATTAAAAAGCATTTTTGTAATATTTAATGACTAATGATACAATCAAAGCTATTATAACAAAAAAAATTAGTATCTGCATTTGGGGTTAAAGAGTTGATCCAATTATTTTACTATTTACTAATTACTCGCTAGTTGAAATATATAAGAATAAAGTAGTGTTATGACATTTCGTGGAGTTTTGTATTTAATAAAAATCAAATAAAAACTAATTGTTAACTGGTTCAAACGAAATACAATAAATAAAAATATAAACAAGTATGATTTATAAAATTTGTTTAGTAAACAATACAGCTTTGTTATTTCTTTACAGCATTTAGTTTTGCACTTAATACCACGGTATCTTGACTTACAATTTCAACGCTTTAATATAATATTCAATCAGTTCGATTTCTTATTATCATAATAACCGTAGAGCTACTATACTTGTATATTTTATAAATATACTTTATAATTTGTAAGTTTATATATTTCAAGATGAATAATAATTACATTCAATCTGCTACCTGCAAAGGAGAAAATAGACTTCTGAACATTGTAGATCGATCGCAATTGATTAAACCGGATTCAATGATTTCGAATCATAGTGAAATGATAGCTCAGCTTAAAATGAAAATCGAGGTTCAGCAAGCGACTATCAATACATTATTGTCAGAAATAAACGAAATCAAAAGTATCTGATTGTTAAAAGCTCTTAAAATTACAGAAATAATATCCACTTCTAATGTACTATAATAGCATAATATACTTTTGCAGTTAATTTTCAATTTCAAAGTAAGTTCAAGGACGACGAGTTGTCCCATTTAAGAGAAAAGTGTTCAGAGTTTCAAAGTAGAGTTAAAGAATTAGAAGGTATGTAACCAATTATAGATTTAAAAAAATAATTTATCGAAATCTATAAATCAATGTACATTGTAAGGTAAAACAATATCAAACAAACGTTATTTTCAGATAATTCGATTAACAAATTAAATATTGATCGCCTTCAAAATTCATCAGAGAAATTAACCAAAGAAAGTAAGTCAATGCAGAGAAAAATCAAATAATTTGTTACTGAAAATAATTTTTTGATGTCAAAATTAACTGATGAATTTATAAATTGTCCAGGAGTATCGTTTGATGGAAACGAAAGTGATATCAGCGAATTGAATGAAGCTGATAAGAGTGAAAACAAAGATAACGAATGTTGCGAGGAATTTACTGAAATAGATGAAAATACTACTACTACTATCGCCGACGTCGTTTTGACATTTTTCACAAATTTCTTAGGTTTTTTCTTTATATTATTTAATAGAATTTTTTCTTATGAAGGTATCCAAAAAATCTCTGGTGCAATTAATGTTCAGCAAAGTCAAATACACGAATTGGCTGAATTCGATGAAAAGCTGTCTGTAGCCACCGCCATTGATAGTATTGGCCACAAAACTACAGAAGCCAACCAAGTCCAGCCACTTCGACTGAGCAAAGATTTAAAGGAAAACAATCAGGATAATATGAATTGCGTATCGATTACAAGGACTACCCAGATAGATCACGAAGTAAATTTAATGGACAGTGCGAATTCTACATCCACTAAGGAAAACATCTGCAATGTAACTAATACACTCACGGGTTACAATGAGAAATTAATTGCTGTCCAAATACAGGATCAAATAGAGACCGTCAATACTACTAGGAACAACCCTAAGTATAAAAAATAAAAAACAAAATGATATTAAATAGAAAAAATACGTAATATTATGTTTATTTTCAGACAAAAACTCAGAGAAAATAAATTAGAAGCATATTTCAAATCTGATCCGATAGGCGCCCTGCAAGAACTGTGTAGGTCTCGAGATTGGATACTTCCGAAATATCAGTTTTTTAAAGAAGGTGATAGCAGGACGTTCACATACTCGGTTGTGTGTACTGTATTGTCATTCACTGTCAGGGGTAAGTGATTGAAATAACATTTCTGTTCATGTTCGATAAATTATTAATGTTCATTTTTACCGATTGAAGTCAATGGTGTGCATAAAAAAATTGGCAAACGACAAGTCGCTACTGAAATGTATCACAAAATAAAAAAATTTTACCAGTAGTAAAGTTGATTTGGCAAAATATGTCTCTGAAATAAATCCCAAAGGTAATGGGATAGTCAACGATGAACGTGTTTTCACGTCTGCGGGATTCTACTCGAAACCGGACACCACAGATGTCGTTGACGCACCAGTATTTACTTTAGCTGATGAAACGGAGTGTATAAAAATTAACAAAGATTCAGCATTTAAAACGTGCAATGAGGTCTTAAGTCACCCAGCGTCACTTAAAGAATACGATAATGATCGTCCTATCGTCATTTCAAAATGCCTTAATTGCAATGAAAATCACGAGTCATCTGTAAACGAATCGGTTATCGTCAATGAAGACAAAAAATCATTATTTGCTTCTGTAGACGCCGATCTCGTCGAAAGATTTCGACTATCAAATAATCCTGGTTTGCGTAAATTGAAGGTAATTACATCTGTTTTATCTAATCGTAACCATGGCATACGAGTGATACGTACAATGTAAAACGTGATTTATGTGTACAATTGTTATTATGTCACAGGAAATTAAAAAAATAGACATGCTTATGGTTCCATCGAATGTTTTGTTTTTGCATCAAATCGCCAGAGAAGAAGAGCTAATATTGGATTATGAACTTTTTGAATGTTGCTCACTAACGATTAGTACGATTTCCATACAGACATTCATAGTGTAACATTAAACAATATTATTATCCATATACTTACAGGAAAAGATTTTACGGGTATTCAACTTACGGTAAACCATTGTGCACTAACGGTCGTTGGCTTCGGTGAAACGATACTTGAGAGTCAAGAAGATGCGGCTTACGAGTGTTTGAGTCGCTTCAAATCGATTCTAGAATAATATTCTAGAAGTACGATCAAAGCAGTAGATTTCTCTAGTAAGTTTATATAGATTATTATAAACGAAAATAATACTTAACCAAACTTATAAAATCGCTCATTATCTATTACGATTTACGTTAAGCGGCCCAAATTCAAAATTGAAAGTATTTTTTTACACCTTATATGTTAAATTTCTTTGTAAGTACTAATATATACAATTGTATAATAGCAGTGTGGCACGAGCGGATTAAACGGGATTACTAAAATTCATCGATTGTATGCGTTTGGATTATTCTGTTCAACAATAAGATCCGTTAGCATTTAAGATCATCAACATCAAAACCATATAAAAACAATACAAATTGAAAATATCGCTAAACCCATTATGTGATCATTCAACCCCCTTAGGGTAGAATATCTCACTTCTTATCGATATCTACTTGTAATAATTTAATCACTGTTAACTATAATAATGAATTGTTAAATAACACTGTTATTGAATAAATGATAGTCACTATTCACATTTGTAATTTATTTCATAGATATATTATGCAAATAATAAAAAAATCTGCAATTCATCAATACTGTTTTAAATTTTTATAATAAATATATATTTGTTTTGATGTGGTCTGTTTAAAACAACCAGTGTTGGGAAAGATAACCAATAATTTTATCTAGATTAAAGATAAAGATAATGACTAAAGGCTTATATAAGATAAGGATAAAAGATAAAAGAGAATTATTTAAAATAACATTTAAGGTCTGACTCTTGGCTATATTTTTAAAATAACTCTTTTATTTAATGCCTTAAGGTTTGATGGAATATTCTTATTATTCTTAAAAGTAAATAGGTTAATAAATGATTATTATTTAAATTACTATTTATTATACCTACCTATACTTCAATATCTGTACAAGTAGTGATTACTAAGTGGCTTTAGATTATGTATTTGTATTAAAATACATAAGATAAGATAGAGTATAGAAATATAATAGTTATAATATAGATTACTAGATACTAGCAAATTACTAGCAAACAGGAAAGAAATAACAAATACTATTGTAAAAATTGTATGACTGAGTACATTAATGAGAAGATTACGAGAATTGAATATTTAAAGAAAGTTAGCTTCAAATTTGCAAATCAGTGGTTTTAAAATGTATTTATTATATTTTATTATTTGTATTTCGTACACCTAAGTGATGACAAGTTGACTTCCAAATCAACGATTTAAAATTGTATATTTTTATCATTTTTTTTTTAACATACATTAACGCTTATTAACCAAGCCTACTTTAAAGTTGACAGTCCTAAGCCTGTAAAAATGAGAAGGAAAATGTGCGTAGATAAACGGAAACTAATTCGACTATACCTAATAAAATACCTTTTTCAGACGAGAACCAATTCTGTACGCAGGGTTGTAGCTCGAGAACCAATTCGGTACCAGCCAACGAATTAACAGTAATCTTATCTTAGATAAGTTATCTTTCCGTCGAAGGTTTAAGTTTTAAATAATAACATTACTTAATAGTTTTACTTTTATTATAATATTAAACTTTTTAGTTTGTCATACCTAGTTAGTTAAGACTCACATTTTTAAGTTTTAACTTTTAAATGTTTTAATTTTTCAAAGTTCGAAAGGTCGAAAGTTCGAATATAGTTTGAAGTACCAACAAGTTCGAGTTCGAGAAAAAAATTATGTTCGAGTTCGGGTTCGAGTTTGTGAAAACTTTAGTTCGACCCATCCCTAGTATTAAGTATTAAATTATTTAATGTTTTTATTAACACGTAGTAGTAACAGTTTATAATAAACGTGCTATTAAAAACAATACTAAAATACTATACTAATGTCCGATAGTAAAAAATGTTTGAGTGAAGAATTTTAAAGTTTAAGTATTTTATCCCACAGTGGACACAGCATTGTTTCAGCTTAAAGAAAGATTTAAAGGTCTTAAAACAATAAATGATGAGTTTTCTTTTTTAAAACCAATAAATCTTACTACAATAGAAGAACAAATTATAATTAAAGCGTCCTACGATTTACACATAAAATATAAAAATGAGTTAAGTTCAGATATTACAAATCAACTTTTGTGTTTAAGAAATTTTCTTTGTGTTAATAAATCAACATCTGTGTTACATAATATTAAAGATCTAACAGTTTATTTAATCGAACATGACTTGGCATCATCTTTTCATGACGTTTTTACGCTGTTTAATTTTTCTGATTATTCCAGTTACAGTCGCTTCTGCCGAACGTTCTTTTTCTAAGCTTAAACTAATAAAAAATTATTTTAGAAACTCAACTTCACAAGACAGACTTACGAATATTGCAATTCTCAATATTGAAAGAGAAAAAACCACAGAACTTGAAATTGACAAAGTAATAAACAACTTTGCAAATTTAAAGTCAAGAAGGAAAAATTTTCTCAAATACTTCCAATGTTTTTATTTGATTAATGTTGCATCTTTCATACTTCATAATTAGTATTTGAAGAATTATTCAAATGAAACAAAATTATGTTATATAATATTATGCATTAATAAAAATTTGTATATTACATACTATTTAATAAGTAATTAAATAGGTAAGTGTTTCTAGTGTAATAAATATGGAATTAATTTATTTTGTGGTGATCATTACAACATGAGTAATATTTTGTTTTGTTTAATTTAATATTATTCTATAAAAGTATCATACTTTTATAATATTTAAATGTACCTACCTAAAAAAATGTACAAAGTACAATAGGTATGTGATAAGTTTATAATTAAATGTTGCTAGTTTGCTTACAAGTAAGTAATATGTAAACAATAAATATAACCTAACCATAATAAGGATAATATTTATCTGGTTATTTACTTTTTTAGAGGGCCCATATTAATCTTTGTACACGGGCTTCCAATAACCTATTTACGTCACCAAATACTGATATTCGAATGTTTGAATATTCAAATATTCGAATAATTTGATTATTCGAATATACCTTACATCTCTAATAAATAACTTGTAATTTTTATTGTTGATAATACAGCTTGAGAATTTTATTTAGGTAATATTATATTTAAGTATTAAATATTATATACAATTTAAAATTTAAACTTTAATAAATCGTTGAATAACGTTTTCATTGAAATGTTATGTATAAAAACTAAAATCAAATGTTTAATAAGGCTCTAAACTGCAACATACTTTAAAAAAAAATAAAAATTAAAAACATTTTTCATTTTTATTATAAATACATATGGAAAATTGTTTGAAAATGATTTATATTTTATTAATAAAGATTTTCCGTAATTATTATCATAATAATGTGCTAGACTCAAATTAGATTATAGCTATTATACTTCTACACAAGACAGTAGCGTAGCTAGTTATGATAGGGCCTCGGGGCAATAAATAAATTATAAATTAGGACCACTGACTAATATTATCTTTAAAAGAAAATTAAAAATAAACATGTAATACTATTCTATCAAATGTGAATATTTACTAGAGTTTTGCATGGGCCGGGCTTACGATATCACATATTTCAGTTACAGACTATCATAAATAAATTAAAATAAATATTCGTTATCCATTTTGATTCATAGTTAAAAAAATATATTAATTTATGAATATTTAAGTTTAATTTTAATTCAAAATAACATTAAATGTATTTAATTAAAAACTATCAATTTTAATTTAAAAAACATTTATTACACAATAAACATTAAGCATATCAAATTTACGGAGAAAACAAGGTTATATTGGACTTGGTTGTGATATTTTTAAATATTAAAATAAATTAGACCGGGCTAATTTGTCATTATGATGAATTAGGCTAGACGGGCTAAATCTATGTAAACAAAATATTTGACAGGCTTGGGCATTAAAAATCAGGCTCGTGTAGAGCTCTAACACTTACTATGTAACCATAAATAAATAAAAAATATAACAAGTGAAAAGAAAATTTAGCTCATCACTATAAAAAATAATTATCGGATTTTATTATTATTATAATTAATTATTTAATTTAAATTAAAAGACTTATTATAATTTATTAATACTCAACGAATTAAATGTATACTATTTTACGTTTTTTAGCAATAGCAAATTTTATTTTTCTATAATATATGTATTGCTTTATTATGGAGTTCCAGAATTGTTCAAAGATCCCAAGGCCCCTAAGGTTCTAGGGCCCTTGGACATAGTCTCACTTTGCCCTATGATAACAATGCCACTGGCACAAGATAATTAATTCTCCGATTGTTCTTATCGATGTTCACTACTCATTTGAGTTAATATGACTCAATTAATTTCTATCAACGCAAGCTTAATATGAAGATTATTCTAGACAATGACACAACTTAGGTCATCTTTAGTTATAACCCCTCGAAATATGTAGTTAACTTAATCTTTCCCCATTATGTCCACCAAAAACCTTCCAAAATTATATTATTTTGAAATGTTTAACATCCTCTTTCCACCGAAAATAAATTCTGATTGTGCCACTAATTCGAAATTTAATATCTGTTCTGCAAGCAAAATCTAAAAAGGTTTCCGTCGTTTTCATTCTGCTGTCGCCAATAATTGTAGTTATCGACAATTGGTTTATAAAAAGTAAGAAAACCAAAAGAAGATCAAAATGGTACAAGGTAACTGTGTCAATAATCAACACTCTTGTATAGGCAATACACTCAGTACTAACTGCTTGATTACAATATCACGAAGTTGATTTATATAGTAGGTATGTGACAAATATTATGAGCCATAGTCTAACGATTGGATAGAGTCGAGTAAAAGTCCGAGTCTTTTTTTCGTTTGTTGATAATTATGCTCGTGCTAGCTAATAGTATTTGTAAACATTTGAAAATAATGATAGGTAATACTATAATATATAGTTATTAATATATAATTTTAAATGACTCACATACCACCAAACAACTACAAAATGTAGAGAAAAATAAAAATAAAATCTGATTTTCAATTACTAGGAATCAGGTCGTAGGAAATCGTAATACCCGTATTAATTTCTATTTTAGTAGGTATCTACAATTTATTAGTGTCAGCTAAAAACAATTTGATTACTATTGTTCATACTTAATAAACTACTTCATTATTTTGTTAAGTCAATGTCATACTATTCTCGTGGTACATACAAACACCAGTACACCCAACTGACCAGTGGCGTATGCAGGATTTTTTCAAGGGAGGTGTCATAATATACATGAATTTATGACCTTTTTTTTTGCTCATCACTAAAAAAAATCTCCTATTCCCACTATGTTATACTAATATCAATAATGATATAATCTATAAAATTAAAAAAAATATGAAATAAAAGAAAATATTAAGGAATATATACTCGTATAATGATAAAATTTAGTATTCATAGTTATAAAATCGGTATGAAGGTTTTGTTTTGCCAATGTTTTAACTCAATTTTATTTTTAACATCGACTTTATGATGAATATTTAGAACGAACTACTAAACCGTTAAGCCTTAAAATGGCCAACAGAATTTCGAAGATCAGTCTTAATTATTTTTATGTGGAAGAACATATTTTTGGTTCACACGATATAACAGGTAGAGTTGCAAAAATATGAAGCGGGTTGGATAAATTTAGAAAGAGATTTTTATTGCCCTTATCAAGAGCATCTAGATTCTAGAAGACCATGTACCTACATTTAATTTCTGCAAATGTGTACGCCAAAGCTTTATTTTTTCTTTAAAAACATCTTGATCGATATCATCCGAATAAAATGCATTTAAATCTTTGATTTCTTTGTTATCATAAGTTTCATTAGAAATTAGAAAACTAAAGTCAGATGTAATATTTTTATAATTCAAAAATCGTTCTTTTAACTGTTGAACTAAATTGTCCACAAATTAAAGGAATATAATAATTTTAGAAAATAAAATGTATGGGGCCATCTGTAGAATTATTTGATCTATGTTTTTGTCGTTAGATCTTTTATATTTGGTTTAGGATAAGGGTGGTCGACTCCAAATGGTTGGAAGAAAGGCGAAGGAGAAGAAGAATCTTAATGTTTATTGATGATGATGATGTTTTATCAGGAAAATTTCCATTTTTTCTAGTCATCGTTTCATAATTTGAAAAGATACTTTTAACTATTTAAGAGGGGGTGGGGTGCTATATCTCCCTGCGTAACGGCCATCACCCGCACCAATTCATATGAGAGGTACAGGTCTTGGAAACCCTATCTTTTCCATGTCACCGATTGCATGTGTTATGTTTTCGATTTCGGTTATATCTCGACGCACGGCACACGTGCACGGACATCATACCGTACGTACGTAGTTTTATTTCGTCTAAAAGTGACAGTTTTCCCTGTCGGTAATAGAATTTTAAAAACTCGTTTAACGTCGGAGAGAACGTATTACCCGATCGCATTGCCCGTCGACCTATCAACCATCGCGGACGACGATTCCAATTGTTGTTATCAGTGGTGGTCAAATGACTTTGTCATGGGGGGGGGGGGGGATATAGCTGATTTTTTAACAAACATTATGTATAAAAATCTTTATTTTTAAACATGAAAATTAAATTATATTTATGATATTATTAATTATAATTAATGATATTTATATTATTAAATTTATTTTTCTGTTTTTTTTTGCCAATTCGTCCAGTACTTCGTCTGCAGTAATATTAACAACCCCACGACGAACAGCCATAGTGGCTAAACCATTGAGACGACTCTAAAATAATATAATTACACAATTCATATAATAATATAATATATTATGTTAAGCATTAAGTACTAAATTTAAATTTCATACACACTTATAATTTAACTATAAAAGAAATGAAAAAAACCTAAAAAGTTTGTTTCAATTAATATTTTAGTGTTGTATGTTTGAACTGTTAATTTTATTTCAGCTTAGAGACAGTATAATAACTAATAAGTACAGTATATTAATTTTTTTAAATAGAAAATAGATGAATACCTATTTTATATTATGTATACTATGGATGAAATATAAATATTTAAAAAAAGGTCATGGGGGGATCTATCCCCCTCATCCCCCACCTCGTTTGACCGCCACTGGTTGTTATTATTAAGCGGTAACGCGCTTAAGAGTGTAGCATTTATCGCGGAGACGCAACGTCGGCAGGGCTGTCTGATGGCGGACGGACGCGAGGAATCGATAAACATACTCGAGCGACGACGACGACGGTCATATACTGGAACAATATGGGAGTGGGGAAATGAGACGACGTGGGCACGGTAATTTCGTTTAGGTCGCTGCGTACGCACTGCGACCCTGGTCCGGTCGCCGCCAAAGGGTGACGGGCAGGTAGGCACTACTACTATTACTACTACTACAACCACCACCGTGGCCACCACCACAACTACTACTACGGTTGCCGGTCGTGCACACGATATATTTCGTATTTTCCTCGACCTCGCGCGCTCGCCGCCGCCGCCGCAGTCGATCGCTCCGCGTCACATACGCACTCACGTTCCACGTCTGTTCGCGTTCGCATTGCGTTGTGTTTCGCTCCGTGTTCGCGCGCCGAGTGTTCAAAAGTTCGGGTTAAGGTCAATTTATTTTTTTAATTTTTTTTTTTCGTTCCCCTTATCTCTCTTCGTCTCGTGCTGGGTTTTCACCGATCTTCCGTATCGCTCTCCCGTCGCCCTCGACCCTCGGTTTAGCAGTGCCTTTCCACCCCGTCGTCGTCGTTCTCGTGCCGTCCGCCTGTTCGGTAGGGAAATTAAATAACGACATCGATTGACGGCCGTCGTCGAGACGTACGTCTTCACCGTCCGCTCACGCGATCCGCGATAAACGCGAGTGGTGGTCCGCCTCCTAATTAACCCCCACGTATCGTTGTTATCGAGGACCGACACGACCACGAAGATGAACAAGTGGTGGCTGACCGGCACAGCGGTCTTGCTGCTGGTCGTCTGCGCGGCCGACGCCAAGAAGAAGTGGAAAGCCGACGAAGACTTCGAGTTCGAAGAGGTACGATTAACATAAATACCGATGTTACACTACGGATTTGTTGACGGAACCGCGTTATCGTCGTGGACCGACGTGCGCGTGCTCGTAACGTGTTCTCCCGACGTTGCGCTGCTGCCGCTGCTGCTGCTCGGGGACAGCGTACGTTTCCCGGTTAACCGCGGTCGGGCCGAAACCGGTGCGGTACGAGAGCAGAGCGTGGCATGCCTTTTACGACCGCCCCCGCCCGCCGTGCGCACGTAAAGTCCATTGTGCACGTGTAGACTGTGCGGCTCCGGTGTTCCGTGTTGTGTTTTTTGTTGCGCGCGCGTGAGGCTGCGGACGGCCGCGGGGCCAGGTGGTGTCCCGCGTCTCATCGTCTCTTTGTCCGGTGGCCCTCTATTGTTGCTGCAGTCGCCGCGTCGCTCGTCCGCACATCTGCACACACCCTGCGCGCGCCCCCACCTCACGGTACGTCTCGGTCGCCGTACGTGCGACACAAATCCGTCTTATCGAAATTCCCGGCTCAGAGAAAGCCGCGCACACAATCGTGTACGCGCACACGCACACGCACGTACGCACCCGCCGGACGGATTACAAGAGGACGTGTCGCGTTGGATTTTTTTCACTCTGTACAAAAAAAAAAAATCCCGAATTTTCTCGGTGTCCATGTCTCGTGATGTGTTCCGACCATCATCCGTGTGCTGCCCCGCCCGACCTTGGCCCGAATTCGCGATTCTTTTTTAGCCGTTTGCATTTTTTTTTTCTCCATCGTTCCCCGTCGCATCGATAAATCTATAATCTTTCTAACGTTGTTTCTCGCGCGCGGAGTAAGATTTGCCACCGACCAGACGTACGTTGTTTCCGCCGAGATAACGTTTATCCTCCCTCCCCCCTTCCCCGCGCGTGTGTGCTAAACGTGTCTGATTAGTGGGCTGTCATTGTTTCGTCGGCCTGTGTGTTTGCATAAACGTAGTTTTTTTTTTTTTTCATGAAAAAATTACCGCCCTCCAATTATCACTTGGATGTATATTATGAGAGAAAAAATAAAAACATGCTCGTAACCTACAGACATTACATATATATTAAAAAAAAATAAATAAATAAATAAATAAACAAACAGGTTTCTCTTTTTGTACTTCGCTGCGAGTCGTAAACGGTTTATGTTATTGTATTAGTTAACATGACGTGATTTACTAATTAGAAAACGGCGACTAAATTCGTTCGAACAAACTATACTTTTAATTAATCCGTCGAACGTTTATGGTTATCTAGTTGGTATTTGTATGTTATTATTATTTACTCCGAGACCGATCGCCTCGTTTGGTCACAAATCGTGGGTGTTGGGCTCGGATTTGAACGTAGTTAATGGTATTGTTTTCCTAGATTGTACAAATGTAGGAGTTTAATATTAGGAATTAGTGTAGGATTTTAAAATAAAAAATAATATTTATGTGTTTTTAAATTGGCGTTCAACACGCCCATATCCTCTCGGTAGAATTATCGCACATTTTTCAATGACAGTGGTGCTAATCGTCATAAACAGTAATCCTTTTTTTTTTTTTATTCGGTGAACCTTAATTTCCACACAACTCAGAACTACGGTAATTTACGAGTGACATCAGTAATGCTATGATTGTACCTGTACAGAATTAATGTTCGGTGCAGTGTTATATACGTATTTGAAAGTTTAATTATAATTACTCCAACAACGGGTAGGCACGACGCGTGTACGATATGTGTGTTGTAAATGTATTTAATACATATTACTCACATGTATTATGCATTATTACGAATAAAAACGCAAATACGTTTTGAAATCGATCAGTAATCGCGAGTTCACCGTCGTAACGTTGGCTAAATAGTATTTTACTGATATTTTGATCGAGTCCATCTGCTGCGTATAGGTTGCGATTTTGATATATTATCACGTCGAAAGTATTCTTAATAATTTCTCAAAAAAAAAGTGTTACATTTAGTTTGACCTTGAATCTGGGTGAAAAATAACAGTGTTGTATATACTTGTGTATACACAGTTTAATGTACGTTATCCGTTTCGAAGTGTTAGTAGTAGTGGGAGCGAAGGAAAAGAGAAGACACATTGGTACTGGTTTTTTGTTTGTAACAGGTTTCTTAGAGACCTCACACATACACACCAATACACCAACATGTGTGTGCGTGCGTACGTACGCATAGAACAGAACAGGTCATCACCGCCCCGGGCCACTCTTTATTAGTTCAAATAAAGCTATAAAAGGACGACGAAAGACACCGGTCGGTCGCACAGTCCTTTTGGCAGCAATAGTAGGTCCTCTGTGCCAACGCATAATATGTGTGGTATACCCTTTTTTTTTGTCATTATAGTTTAATGTATAGAGTGAAAGATAGAGACGAAAAAAAGGGTAGGTTCTATTCATTAACACGCCACTGTTTTGAACTACCTACTGGGGAAAAAAAAAAAACACAGAAAATATAGTTTTATCTCTGGCAAGCCCTAACTTGGTAACCCAGTTTTTGTAGATGGATCGATAACAAAATATAAATTTAGTCGAGTATTTCTCTTAAAATAATTTTGCTTATTCCCGACCACTGAATGATAGAGTAAATACGAAAGTTGTGATAATTTTCAACAAATAGGTAGGCAGGTGCCAAATATAAACCTCTATTTTATCGTTATAATTATTAATAAACAATATTTGAATGAAAGTTTTTATTTTTAAGAATTGTTTAAAATACAATAATATTAAATGGAATAATGAAAAAGTAAAATTTGTGTTATGTTGTTTCAAAAAATTAAAATGGTTTTGTGTTTGACTACATTTGTTATTTCGGAATTGTTGTCATTCGTATGTAATAGTGTGTGTTTAAATATATATATATATAGGTATATAATATGTTAATTTATTGGTTAGCATGAAGCGTAAATATATAATTTATGTGTTGATCAAAGTATAAAATTGAATATTTCAAGTTATACAAAAAGATAAGAAACAAAAACCAGATACAATCAGTATCTAATATCTATCAAAATGAGTAAAATATTTAAAAAAAATTATTCAGAAAAAAACTCAAACTGATATTCTATTTTTTAACGAATAGGCTTTTATTCTCTTAAATGTTGTCGTTATCGTCTGCATTTTAGTCTTTCCGGCTATCATACATCATTATTCTCCATACAATTTCATACAACATTCTATTACACATTGTGAATTGTTAGAAATAGGAGCACTGTTGAATTATAAAAAATTTTCATCACGGTGTTCATGATTGAATGGGTGTTGAAAACATGTTCACTGACTAGGCATATCTATAATTTATATACGTAGTAAGTATTACTTTTTAGGAAAAGTTAAATTATATTTTTAATAGTTAATGTAGTTAGGTAATAGTTATCCTGTTTTAAATATATTCATTTAATAATTTTATATTAATTGTTTATGTTATATTTTCATATTCATTCTAAACATTATATCTCATATGGTTATAAATAATTAAAAATTACAATTGTATTTAGTACATCGTTTAACAAAATAATTATTATTTAAAAATCTCGCAGGACTTTTTTTTTACTTTGGTAATTTTTTATGAACGATTCTTTTTTAATAACTATTTTAACTAATAATTATTACTATTTAATCTTATTTTTAAATATATAAACTAAACTATGTAGTATATAATACAAATTGTATATTTGTATTTATCCTAATAATCATTAATTATTAAGATATTAAATTTGAAGTTGAATATAAAATATTTATTAATCACATTTACAATATATAGTGATTAAACTTTTGAAATATTTCTAAGCATTATTTTTATGTCCAATTAATTATAAAAAGGTATTTTTACTACGTAATGTAGTACCCAAAAACTCATTTATTGTTTGAAAGCTATTTCCGATTAAATTAAAAGGCTTTATAACAATTGCGCCGAAAATCGTAGGTAAAGAAATAAAAATGATGGGATGGAAAAAAGGTATACATCTATTGCGTCGGTATAAAAAGGGTATAATTTATAGGTATACATCTATTGCGCCGATCGATATCATAGGCGTGCGCAGACTTTGTCCGCAGGGGGGCCCTTTAAAAAAAGTGTACCAAAGATTCTTGTACTAAAGACTACTAGTATAATTAATATTTTAAATTTTATAAATTATTTATTTAATTCAATTTGCAAATATACAAATAAATACTATTCAAACTTACACAATTTATATCTAAGAAATCCTTATTTACATATTATTATACTATTTACAACTCCATCCTTCTGTCCACGGGAGTAAGGTTTTTGAATGTATCAATTACATCTTCAATTTTTATATTATATGCAAGTTCTGATTAGTCTGATTAATAACTAATAACTTTATTACATTTATTCACAGATTTCAATTCTATAAGATTAAAACTGATTTTACTTTATTCATGTAAAATGTAAAAATGTTCGCTATCTTCTATAGTATAGATATATATTTATTAAAGAAAAATTCAGAGTTCTCAGGGGGGGCCACGGCCCACCCGGCTACCCCCGTGCGCACGCCCATGATCGATATTCAAGTTAATAAATTTTGCGATTACCTTATTGATACATATATTGATCAAAATGCAACTTTTCCCCCGTTGGTCATCATGTAACATATCAGACGAAAGAACAACAAATGCCTGTGAGGCATTTTACTCAGAGTTTGGGAAATATTTTTACTCACCTCATCCAAATATTTTTATTTTTTATAAAGTTTTAAAAATAATGTAACGTAACAATCATAATACGTGTTCTCTTAGTTATTACAAATATACCAAACTCTAAATTTATGACAAAAAAATAAATAGTAAAATAGACATAACTAATTTTAATATTAGACCTAAAAACTTTTCAAAATTTGTAGTTTATTTATATATAATATACTATTAGTGTAAATACTAAGTATGTAGAATAATAAGTTAGATTTTAGTTTTAATTTTTGTTTTTGGCCATTATAATTTTTACTTGTAATGTATAGTTGTTATACCGGCGCAATAGATGTATAC